CCCCACTCCATCCGCCCCTTGCCTCCAAGAGGGTGAGAAGCAGGCTTACCGGTAGACAGTGCTGACAGTGGAAGGGAACTCGGACTGTAGCTTGGCCAGGAAGTTCTCAATCAGTCGGTGGATGCTGGCTCGCTCCGAGGCCTGAGGAAGAGGAGGAGAGGGCGGTACCCGTGGGCACAAGGGGAGGAAAGGCAGAGCTTCTTCCCCCCGCGCACCAAAAACGGTCACAGGGAAGCCTAGGAGGTGCCAAGTTGTGGAGCTCTTACTTTGGTGTCTAGCGCAGGCGTGAAGATGGTGGGCACTCCAAAAAGGTGGTTGTAGAAGACAATCTCTTTGGCAGGATATTCCCGCATGGGGCGCAGGAAGAGCACATCACCGTGGCGGCTGTCCGAGAAGCCCTATCAAGCAGGAGGCGGGGGGGGAGAAGACGGGGGGGAAGACAGTGAACAGAGGCAGCCTGTCAGTGGAAACATCAGATGCAGCCGCCGCTGCTCCAGGCAGGAGTCTCTCTCTGGAGATGCCCTCTGGGGTTGAACTTGGGGGGCTCTGTGCTACAGGGCCTGGGAGTTCTCCCCTCCACGTACTAACCAGGCCCACATCTACTTAGCTTCCCCTCTGCAAATGGAAAGCTGGACGCAGTGGGCCCTGGGTGTGGATCCATCACCGATACCTCCGAGACACCCCCCTCCCCTTGTCCGCAACATGCCCCTGCTCTCTTACTGTATCTGTTGCCAGGAAGGCCCCTCGTCCCAGGCAGAGGTTGGTCAGCAACTTGACTGCCACACGCGTACAGCTGTCCCCCATCATCACCTTGATGTACCCCCTTGTCCGGGCAACGTGCAAGATCAGGTGGTTCCTGAAGAGGAAGGAAGGCCTGTGCCGTCGGAGCAGAGAAGCCAACCTGGCTCCCTCTGCCCAGGACAAACCACCCAGAAGCCAGCAAAGCAAAGCAAGAACTGCCTCATTCCTCAGCACGGCACAGAGGGAGACAGGGAAGGTTTTCGCCTGCGTCTCCCAGAATTCCTCAGCCACCACAGCACCAGGGGCAGATTCTGGGAGGTATAGAACCCAAATGGGTGTGAGTGTTGTTGCTTTCCCCCCCATGGCACAGTGGATTCAGCAGCCACAGCAAAGACCAGCTTCAGGGCCATGACAGAACCATGGGAATCATGGCCTGTTTTGCTTCCCTAAGTCCCCAAGACCAAGGCTGCTGCCTGACCAGGGTGGGTGTGTTGCTTTCACCCTAGAGTCGGCCCCCAGCCTCTTTGCCCTTTTCTGCCACCAAGCAAGCTGGGGCCTTGTTGCAGCCACCTCAGTAACAAGGAGCTGTCTAATCCAATGGGACTAGCCAAGGGCAGAGATTCAGTGCTCTGCTATTAAATGAGCTTTAAAAAACCTGCAAGAACTCATGAGGCCCAGTACAGAATACAGTCTACAAAATTTCTCTGGACTGGCTGTTCTAGAGAGAGAGCAACACAGGCTGGGAACTCCTCCAGCAACACGGCAGCTGGTGAAAGCCTAACCTCTGCTGCAAGATCACAAACCGCACAGAGGGCTCACCGGAGGGTCTGCAGAAGTTCCTCTTTTGCGGTCAGGCTTTTCACAGCCCCAAAGAGGCGTGTCAGAGTTTCCGTATGGGAATCAGGAGGGGGCCAAGTTCCTGGAATCACGTCCCCTTCTTTCTTTGGACAGTCTTGCAGGCTGAGCTCTCCCAGCTGGTCTTCCATGGAGCCTGGGTTGTCCTCCACCTTTTCCTGCTGCTGTTTTATGAAGTCATCAACAGCATCTTTGTAGCTCTGGTCCTGAGCAGAGATGCCAGTGGGAAGCGAGCACAGGACAGAACTAGGAAGGCTGAACACCTGTGGGCAGGGGGAAGAGCACCCAGTATCACATTAGCTGGGATGAAGGCTGACCCACACAAGCTTGCTGAAGAAGACCTCTGAAACTTGCCAGACGCCATTTCACAGTTCTAAAGGACAGGATGGTTTTGTCAGAGGCCAAGATCTGATGCTTCCACCCCAACACTCCTATATGTGTGTTTTCCTTACCTCTTCTAAGCTCACTACATGATAAAGGAACCCTGTGGCTTGCAGGATGGTCTCCACCTCAGTACGGATCTCCTCCCGCTGGCTCAGGCTCTGTCCACACACAGCTCCCTCTACAAGGAAAGAAGATAAATTCAACAGTTAAACACCCACTGCTTTCCAGGCTTTTACCCAAATTTGATTTGATGCAACAAAGACCAACATCCAGATAGTAACATTTTTAAAAGACCAAAATGAAACCCCGACACTGTGAAATGTTTACAGCTTTCACCACCCATGAAGGCCATCTATTCCACAAGAACAAAAAGAGTTATAAAGGCATGATTCTCTAATAACAGTCTTCAAATTTGGGAGAAGTGTGGATGCCCAAGTGTTTTCACCTGCCCTCTCTGCTTTGACCAGAAACAAAGTCACAAACCTTCAGTCTCCCAACACAAGAAAGATCACACATAGCAAGTGTTATTTACCATCAACATAGATGATTCCTGGCTTGAAGCGGAGTTTCTTGGCTGCTCTTTGGCTCAGGCCCTGAGAGGAGGAATCATTAGAAAACACAACTTAATTTAAAAGAACACAAAAAATTATATCTCTGACTATCTAACAATCATAGGAAACCTAGTTTCCTGTATAAGACATTATGGCTAAAGCATTCAGTGTCCAAATACTTAAGGAACTGCTGGTTTGTAAAATAAGCATATATGTTTCAGCTGTAGTCCAATTATTTCTACAGCTAATCCTTATATATATATATATTTTTTTTTTTCTGAAAGGTGGTTTTTTTGCGTTCAGGAACACTGAAAGACAAATACCTCCTGCACTTGCCGCACCATCGCACTAGAGGCAGGGCCACCTGAAAATGCGAGAAGAACCTGCAGCAAAGAAGAAATGCAGCCAGAGGTTATGGAACAAACATGCGCTGCTTTTGGTTGTCCGGCCTCATGACTCCACAGCCCTCAGAAATGATAAACAGGCCAGACCTTCTCTCCAGGGTAAATGCAGCGATTCTTCCCAAGCATGGCACGGAACTTGTGAACGAAATATTCCTTGAAGCAGGCCCTACAAATGAGAACAAACACAATGGTAAAGAGTTGGGATAGAACTCCAGAACCTGGAAAAATGTTGCCTTCCTTTGACCTCCACTATGGTCAACAGTCCTCAACACGCCCATTTGCTAACAGAGTCACAGGCGGGGGAAAGTTTTCATGCTTGTTAGTTGAGAGCATCTGGAAAGGAAGATGGCACTGCAGCATTTCCACCAGGAATGCCTGGAGTAGGTTTTGGGGAAACAATCTATTCTCTCATCTCCTTTTTTTTCCCTGGGAGTGCCTCAATTTTGACAGGTATGCTGAGCTGCCGTACAGCCCCTGTAAAAGTGAGACCCCCAGTCAATACACTTACTTGCAAAAAGCATCTCCAACGCGGATGATTAACACTGGAGAGCCTTCTTTGCACTTCATGCATTTCAGAGGGTGGCTTTGGAAAGAGAAAGAGAAGACCTAATGTCTGTTTGTTTGATTTTCTGCAAGGGGTCCCAGCAAGATGGAGCACGGCCTGCAAGCAATTCCAGGGAAACAAGCAGTCCCTGATCACCCATCCATCTGTAGGGAAGGTAGCAGGCCCTGGCAACCTGGGTTGCCAACTCTCCATCCATCCATCCATCCGGCACGTCTGCCGAGGGTTGAGGGCGAGTTCTCCTTCCCTAGCAGCAAACTGAGGGCGACCCTAAGAGGCCCATTCCCTCCCGTCCCTCTGCTCCAGGGGCCAAGGAGTTCCCTCGCTAGTTCCGCGCCCTCTTTCAAAGGGGAGCGTTTTTACTCCAGGGGGGAGCCTCCCCTTTTCTCCTCCTCCGCCGTGACCGGGCCAGAACGACCCGCAGGAGGGGGTGGGGTCTGGACTACAACACCCATCATCACCACCCAGGCTTCTTTCTCTCCCCCCCCAGGAGCCGTCGCCCCCTCTTGGCTTCCACCTTCTCCCTCCCGCACCTGTTCCGGGGGGCCCTGAGAGGAGGACACCCTCGGCCGCCGCCCCCGCAGCCTCCCGGCTCGGCTTCACACATCCTCCTCCTCCGCCGCCGCCTGGGCAGAGACTCCGCAAAGGGACGGCTTCCGGCGCATTCCTGTGACATGTCGGGGATGTCCGTCGCCGTGGAGGTGACGTATGAGAGGTTTTGCCCGTCGCCGGACGCAGAGCTGATGACGTCACCGCCGAAGCTTTTTTTCCCTTCTGGCCCCCTCCTTCTCCAGCAGCCGGAAGTGAGAGGAAGCTACAGGGAGGGCGGGGAGGCGGCGGGGCGCGTCGCAGCGCGATGACGCCATAGGAGGCGCGCCGCCCTCCCCTCGCTTGTCTCCCTTCCTCCGTCTCCTTCCTTCCTTCCTTCCTTCCATTACTAGCATCATCACAACCACCAGCAATCTGATACCCATGACATTTTCACCCCCATGTATTTTTGGAATTAAAGATTTCTGATTACATCAGACTTGTACTGTAGAGTACATTCAGGCTACACTACAGCTCAGAATTAAAGCTATAACCTAACATAACATGAATGTTAAAACTAGTGTTTCCCCAAATGCCAAGAACTGGGATACAACTTAGGGTTTTGCGAGTTACGACTGGAGATTCTTCACTCTTGTAATAAAGAAAATACGAACCTTTTTACCTGCTCCACTGCAGGGAGCAGGCATTCCCTTTGATACTGTGAGACAGTCTAGTTCAGGCTTGTCCAACCTGCAGCCCGAGGGCCACATGCAGCCCAGGTCAGCTCATAATGTGGCCCAGTGCAATTTTTTTATTTTTAAACCAATTCCAAAGTTTTAAGTTACACTGCCGGCGCTTGCGGCCGGAATGTGGCCGGGGGATGTCACAACAGTAGAGGGGGAGAGAGGGAAGGAAGGAGGGGGAGGGGAGGGGAGGGGAGAGGGGGGTCTTCGGCAGGAGCCCCGAGGACCTGCTTGCTGTGGGCCCTCTTTTCAATCCCCGCGTCGGGAGCGCTTGGTGCCAAATGCAGAGACACACTGAGGGGGGGTGGGAAGAGTCTGCCTTGGCGAGCCCTTCGTGGTGCTGGGGGTCCCCTCTGGAGAGGGGTTGAGGCACCCACTGCGGTGTCTTCTTCTTCGCTCCAGCTGGTGGTGAGAGAAATGCAGGTCCAGAGGAGATTTTCTCTCTCTCCCAAGCCAGGCTGGCAGCCTGGGAAGATTGGTAGTACATAGAAGCTTATGCAGTCCCAGCTTTCCTGCAGCCCGTCTGGCCCCTCAAAAGCAGGAGAAGATTTACACTTCGGGAATTCCAGCAGAGGGAAGGGCGGGAATGTTGCACAGGACTTGACAGAGCATCATCTTCCCTGTGGGAGGGAAAAGGGGAGACCGGTCGTGTGAATCGCCAACCTGAATCATCCTTGCAGGGGCCTCCTTGCTGTGCCTTTTGAGACTCTATTTTTGGCTTTAAGCCTTTACAAGGTATTGCTTGTGGAAGAGGACTCTGCTTTCAGCATTCTAGCTAAATGTCAGACTCGGTTGTTTATATTTGCCAGTTCTTGACTCTTGGCATCCACTCCATTCTTGGAGCACAAGCGTTGCTTGGAGAAAATCCCAAGTTCAGTGCCAGGTATCTGCTGTTAGAAGGATGGGGGTAGCTGGTGAGCAGCAAAACCCAGCATACAAAGTCCATTCCCTGGCACACCTCCAGTTGACAAGGAGGCTGGGTGGGAGTTAGAAAGAAAGAAGCAAGCTTTTCAGGGGTAGAGCAGGAAAGGGACATTTGTTCCCTGGTGCCACTTCCATGGACCTTGGAAACAGCCAAATGTTTACACTGTTTTTGTTGGGTACGTGCAGCCAGTGGGTTGAAGCTAGCAGGTTAATTAAAGGCAGAATTACACGGGTGTCACTGTGGATAACGGCTAGGACGGCTCCTGGAAGACAAAAGCATTTTACCTTAACCTCTGTGGTTGATGTTTAGCTCCTCTCTGTACAGGTAGGAGAGGGGCTGGTGGTCAGAGGTTCCCCTCCATATGTTTGTGTTTCTTTTTCTTCCTGAGGACAAGTTTTCCTTTGAGTCAGATATGTTGCTGCTCTGCAGAATGGGAGGATCGAGGGGGGGGGTCCATTTTCCCTTCTGCTAGAGCTGCCTTTGTTGCTATGTAAGGGGGTGGGGGTTTCGACAGGGCCATATCAGCTTCTTCTTCTCAATGGTTCAGGGTCCAAAGCTTCCTTCCCTCGCTAGCCAGATTCACAAGGTAGAAACAGGCCATGGCCTCTTCATCACACGGAATTTGCGATTGCCACTCTTCATTTGTCTGTTTATCAATTCAGATTATGCCTTGGCGGCTCTTTATCTGAAAATAACCAACAAGAGGAGGCCACAGCTGGGAAGGTTTGGTCTCCATTCACTGCCCACCATACTTCCTTCAGGCGGCTGGAGATGCTCTTTAAGTAGCCTGGCTTCCAACCAGCATAGTATGTTAGGAGTTAATCTCAGCCTTGTGATTTGAGAAGCAAGCCAGTTAACTCCTCACCTTTCCCCCATTTCCAGTTTTGTCCAGCTAACATGGATTGGGCGGTATCGTTTTGAAGTTTTGTTCAACTCCTTGTATGCCCTCACAATTTCTGGCTGCTGGTGGTTAAGTGTGGAGGAGCCCGGAGAATCTCCTTCAGAAAACGAACAAGACAGCAGAGGATTCTCCAGAGACAGGATTGGTTGGAGGACAGCATTACTGGAGGATTCTGCCGAAGAGCACGGAGAGGAGGAGGAGGGAGATCAGCCAGTTATTTAGCTCTGTTGAAAGGCCAGGGGGTTTTCCAAGAGGGCGAGGCTGTGTTCTCCTTCTCTGGCATTCCTGGAGGGGGCCATTTCCAATCCAACCATGCTTTTGTTTTGTTTTTTTGCAGAGATTCTTCCACCAACTTAGTAGGAAATGCTTTGGCTTTTCAGAGATAAGAGCACGTAAGGTGCACTCAACTCTGATGTCTGTGAAAGCCCAAGGCTGTTCATGCTGTCACTTGGACTCCTGTGGCCCCTTGTGCCACTTTCAGAGGCAGAAATTCTCTGTTGGAGGCACAGAAGCAGCCACGGGCTTATAACTCTCGGTGGGTAAAGAGAGCCATAGGCCAGCCAGGCTTGCTGCTTAGAGCACCCGGAATCGTGTCTCTGAGGAGGCAGCAGTTCCTTGCTGTGGTCCGGACTTTGCGCAGGGGTTCTGGTTTGTGGACTCCATCTCCTGTGCTGCTTAGCAAGCAGGAAACTGCAGCCCTTCGAGTGACGTAAGGCCAGATGAATGTCTTCCATCTGCCCTATAAATGGCGAATATCATCTGAGGACCACCACCCCCACCCTGAATAGGTCTGTGCGCAGATAGAGCAGACATGCAGATAGAAGGTGGAGCTGGATGGATTGCTACTCGTCCGGGTGATTTTCAGTGGGCCAGCCAGGATGTCTCTCTCCCTGGTGCTTGATAACAACAACAGCAACAACAACAGCAGCAGTAACAACAACAGCAAACAACAACAACAGCTGTAGAGCCCTACATTACAGTATATGGGTGAAATGCTAAAAATCCCTGGGGGGTGCTTTTTGTCTGGAAGGGCTACCAGTTCCACCCAGGGCTAGCACTCAGAACAAAGCCTGGGCCCAGGATTTGCTAATTCTGAGCATGTATCTTTCATAACAGCGCTGGTCGGTAAATCTCAGGGTTCTAGCAAACAACAACAACAACAGCTGTCCAATCGAGGATCTCAGGGTTCTAGCAAAAACAACAACAACAACAACAACAACAACAACAACAGCTGTCCAATCGAGAGTCTGCCTGCCCTGGTCAAAGGCACGTGGAATTCTCTATGGCGACTCCCTCTTGGGAGACCTGCAAGGATCCGCCTCCATTGCCTGCCTTCTTGCTTGAGTGTATTTATGGTTCTGGTTAAGGCCACACACCTAAGGTTCATCCTGGGACATTTTAAAGACAGCAGGGGAAAACGAGCCCCCTTTTTCTTGTCCAGGTTCTGCGGGGAGTGCCTACAGCCATGCCTCCAAGTCCCGTCTCCTCTCTGCCCGCTCTGCCGCATGCCCTTTGACCCCAAAAAGGTGGAGAAGGCCTCCAGCGTGGAGAAGCAGCTTTCGTCCTTCAAGGCCCCCTGCCGGGGCTGTAGCAAAAAGGTAATCTGGCAAGCGGTTCTGGTGTGCACACAGTCACCACTGCCACCTCCTCCTCCTCTTCCTCCTCCTCCCCCCGTGCCAAGCTGAGAACCGCCAAGAAGTGGTTGAGTAACGTGTGGCTCAGGGGTGATGCGTCACCGCTTCTCTGGCAGATAGGGCTGGATCCCAGGAAGAGCAAGAGGGAGCAGCGCTGAAGTAGCTTTTCAGCTTCAAAGTGGCTGCTTCAGTTCAAGGTTCAGACTTCCTACAGCACAGCAGCCTGGGATGCCGTGCAGTCACGGCTCCGCAATCAGACATTTTGCTCAATTGACCTTAAGAGGAGGCTGCCACACGCTTGGAGCCGGAAACGTAGTTTTCAGATGGAAGTTTGCTAACAACCTCTTGTAATAAGCTGTCTGTCTGTGTGTGTAAGAGGGAGAGAGAGCTCCTGGCAGCATTCCCAGGTTGGCCACAGATTTTCAGTTGGAAACAGTAAATAAAATGTGGGGAAAGCGTTTGGTGAATGAAACTGTCGTCAGGTAAATGAAATTGAAAAGCCAAGGTTAACCCTTAAGTGGCTTGCCGTGACCTGTTCCGAGCCCTTTTAGTTTGCCCTGCCAGTAGTTCTTAGCAAGGGAGACCATGTAGCTTGAGCAGAATAATCACACTGGCTGGAGTTTCCAAAACAGCCGGAGGTCCCGCCACCCAGTTCCTGTACCTCTGCTGTTGGTTGCAGGTCTCCCTTCTTTTGCTTACCCGGCTCGAGCACAATTCCCCTTGTGGGGACCAAGCCGTGGAGGTGGGTTGCAGGAGGAAGGAGGATCTCTTGAGGCAGCACTAGGTGAACAGGGAAAGTCGCTGGACGGGGGCTTTTATCTGAAAAGAAACCGTCCGGGGCTGCGGCGAGCTGGTGTCAATTAGAGCAACAGCCGAAGCGGTGTCTCTGATTCTTTCGTCTCCATTTTTTGATCTCCAGGTGACCCTTGCAAAGATGAGGTCTCATGTCACCTCTTGCGCTAAGGTTCAGGAACAGATGGCCAACTGCCCCAAATTTGTTCCTGTGGTTCCAACTTTCCAGCCTATCCCCAGGTACCTCTTTGTTCTTCAGGCGGGGCAGCTGGTCCCGGAGCAAGGGGGGGCGCCTTGAGAGCCCCACAGAGCCAGTCCCGGGCTGCCCCACGAAGGGCGGGGCTCTTGCATCTGCCCCTTTTTGGGGAAAGGAGCTTCTGGGTGAGCTGCACAGAGGTGCCAGGCCCAGGCGTCTCTCTCCCTCTTTCTCTCCCTCTTCCAGCAATCTCCCCAACCGGTCGACGTTCGTGTGCCCCTATTGCGGGGCCCGGAACTTGGACCAGCAAGAGCTGGTGAAGCACTGCATGGAAAACCACCGCAATGACACCAACAAAGTGGTGAGTTGTCTGCGGGGATACAGCAGCGTTTGGGCTGCAGCTCCCTGACATGCTCCCGGGTGGTGCTGGCCCGTGACCCTGCCAAGGCCTGGTTGTATGTGTTGCGTGTGTGAATTCGGCAGTATCGCTGCATGGAAAGCAAAAGCAGCAGCAGCAGGAGGAGGCTTGGAAGTAAGACTCGAGGGCCTTTGATTTCCCTCTCATTGGCCAGAAAGAGAGAGAGAGCGACTTCTTGCTTCTAAAATGGTATTTGAAAGAAGTGAAGCACTAAGGAGGACCTGTGTGGTCTAAAGGGGGGAAGACATTAGCCTGCCTTTGTCCTGAGGGCACCTACATCTGCCTGTCTTATCAGCCACTTTGACGGCCGGGGGGGGGGGCCTTAACCCTTTCCTGCTTGGGCAGGGCCAAGATCAGCCCCTTCTCTGCTGATGCAGAGCCAGAGGGGATGTGACCCGCCGTGAGTCGCATGCGTGTGTCTGTCTTTGGGTGATTGCCTCGTGTGCAGAGTTGGTGTGTTTGTGCACGGTCGCTTCTAGGCAAAGCGTGCTGTACCTTGTTTCTGCCTCAGTTCAATTCTGTCCAGCCCCTCCAAGAAGCAGTAAGCGAAGCAGAAAAGAAAGGAGAAGCAGTGCAAGCGAATTGAAGGGCGAAGCTTTGTTTTGGAGTCCCGTTCCTCCCCCCCCCACGCCTCATCTGGCAAGATCAGTGCCTCCCTGGGTCACTGGCTGGGTTGCCTTCGACCTGGTTGGTCCCTGCGCAGACAGAAGGCAGGGCGAGAAAGGCTTGGGACCTGAACCGGCACAGCTCCCCTGGTAGAAGCGTGTTTGCTGCCTCCACAGCAGGGGCCAGCATTTGCCTCTTTCTCGGCTGACCTCTGCCTGCAGTGTGCCTGCAGTCCCTTCCGGTGCTCTTATTTTCGCTGATAGTGGCCCAGAATAGCACATGGCACCCCCCCCGGGCTCTCTTCGTTTCTGAAGCCATTGGGTGGGCTCTTCTGATGTCCAGCGCCACCTTTCCCCTTTCCCTTCACCTTGCTCATCTTCTGCTTCTTCCTCCACCACCACCACCCCGTATGTGCATAGGTTTGCCCGGTCTGCTCAGCCATGCCTTGGGGTGACCCCAGCTACAAGAGCGCCAACTTCCTCCAGCATCTTCTGCACCGGCACAAATTCTCCTATGACACATTCGTGGTAGGTTCTGCTCGTGCATCTTGACACATGTGGGTTGGGAGAACGGCCCCGTTGGGACCACTAGAGGTGGTTGTCAGCATGCAGTAAGAGTAACCTGATGGTTTGTTGTTGTCTTTTCCAAATGTGCCATCTCTGCCGGAAAAGTAGCAGCCAAGGACAAACAGGCAGAAACCCTGCCTTCCTTGTCTCTCAAGTTGTGACGCAGCAGGTTTTGAGGTGCCGCTTGCATCTCGCTCTATACCTATTCAGGTTTTTATTCCTGCACCGGCCTTTTACTCCCTGTCCTCTGGTGGTTAGAAGCGGTGGCTTTGGGAGAGGTGGGTTCAGACCCCCCCCCCAAGTGAGTGGCGAGGGCTCTCTGGGGGGGGGATTCTTCCAGTCCCTTTCGACCCTCTTAGCCCTCCCTCAAAGGCTGAGGGCCAGGTTGGGAGGAGAAACCTCGTGTGCTTACCTGAACATGTGGAAGGAAGGGCAGCCCTCCATCCGTGGGGGAGACGGGCTGACCCCAGAATGTTGCGGCCAGGTTACCTGCACGCGCCTCTCAGACAGCAAGCTGCCCCCGTGGGGTGAAACCAATTCTTTTATTTGTGAAGCCCTGTTTGAGTCGGAGGGGGAGGCGGGCAGAAGGCCGCCCTTTGGTTCCTGACCTGTGGCTTGGTCTTCTTCCTTTCCAGGACTATAGCATCGATGAAGAGGCCGCGTTACAAGCCGCCCTGGCGCTCTCCCTCTCCGAGAACTGACGGCGTCGGATCGGAACTGTTCCAGGGCGTTTCCGCAGGCCCCTTTCCCTCCTCTCCGCAAGGGGGCACAAGGCCCCCACTTCCCTTGGCGCCCCTCTGGTGCACGGGCATCCATTTCTTGGACCTCGGCCTCGCCTCCTTCTGCCACGGGGGAGCCTTCCCTCTTTTTCCAAGCTTGAAGGATGCCAACGTGGGCAACCATCCAGATGGGGAGCCATCAAGAGCCAGACCTTTGGGTCCAGACCCACTTTGAACTTCCAGTCAGACATTCCATATGTAACTTAAATAGGAAGGGGATATTTTGTAAGAAGCTTTTAATACAGTTTTAGCACCCTTTGCCCTCCTCTTTGCAATTTATATAGCAACAAAGCATTTGGCGGGAAAACAGTAGTTTTGTTTTGTTTTAAATCTCCTGTGTTTTAGGTTTTGGGGTCCTTTCGTTAAAAACAAGACAAGCATGGGACGTTCGACGTTTGTAGGGATATTTATTGTAGCCCTTGGGTACGAGTTTGCCTTCTGCTCAGTCATTTCCACAAATAACCTTTGGGACAAGCCTGCATGTGGGAATGCTCACAGGAGTTTCAAAAGGATCTGGGAATCCTCCGTAAGATGAGGAAGCCATTTCAAACCTAAAAGCTTTCAGCCAGCTCTGTTTCTCTCTCTCTCCCCCATTACCCTTTGCTCCCAGCTGACCTTGCTCGTTTTTTACCAGCTTTTGTGATAACTCTTAGAGATTCTCTGTGTGTTTTTTTGCTACATCTCTCAGTGTGACAATACTCTTTTCACATTTTATATAGAGAAAACAAAGCAGTTATCTCTTGATATTGCAATATCTGTGTTTGATTAGAAACAATAATAGTATTTTTATGGGACGTTATTTTTTAAAGTATATTTTTTAAAAGAAAAACACAGCACGGATTTTTTTAAAAGAAAAACTTGGCAAGGATGGAAGAATTTTAAGCTGGAAGGGGTGGGTTGGGGGGGATGCTTTAGCCCTGTAGTGAAGAGACGTCTCTTCCTTCATCCGTGATCAAGGGAGCTCTCGTTCTTGGTTTTTTTCCATGTTGTTTTTTTTGCTGACCTTTCTTCTCTCATATAAAGAAAAAGATCTTTGATGCACTCTTACCTATCTACCTGTGTCTTCTTTGCTTCTATTAATGGTCTTTTTAAGAAGCTAGTTAGAGATGTGCAACTGTTTCAGATTGACATAAATTTGTCACCCGCTACGTCTGCTGTTAAGAGTCTGGATGCTTTCATCGCCTCTGTCCTGTGCGAATGGGTCACAGAATTTCCAGCGAGCATCAAGGGCAAGGTGAATGGCGAATCGGCTAGCACAGACACGCGCCTCCACTAGAAAGGTGCCTTTGCTGCTGAAGCCAGACACGGCTGGCCCTGGTGTCTCTGGTTCAGCCTGGCAGTGGTGCAACAGGCTGGGGATGGTGCCTTTTCTGACAGCCTCGCCTTCAAAGGCTAGAGTAGCCTTCCCGGACCTAGATGTGTTTGACGGCCGCCCCCATCAGCCAGCTGCCGTGGTGGCCGCCGTTGTGATCAGACAGAGGGCATTCAGCAAATGGCTCCTTCTGTGGCACCTTTAGTTGTGTGTGTGTTCTGGTTCTCTCTACGGGTGAGGGAAACACTTCCCAGGCTTTGCCCGCCAGTCTCTGTGCAGCTTAAAAGCTCCCCAGTTGTGGCTATCAGGGTCTTCCTTCCTTCGTGTGAGACTGGGATAGGAAGAAGGCCTGGGGCTGGGCAGGAGAGGCAAGGTCTGCTTGCCTGCATTGCTTCAGTGCTGCTGTGGTGCCTTTCATTTGGAAGCCCGTGGGCCTTGCCTGTGGCTGGAGGGCTTCACTGGTTCGTTTCTTGCCAAAGGATCTCTCTTTTAGTGAGACTCTCTACCCGTTTGGTGTATAAACTGCAGGATTACCCATTTTCCCCCTGTGCCAATAATCGTCCAGAGGGTTTATGGTGGCATCCAGATCTTGTGCAAATATAATTTCTGTCTGTGTTATTAGTCTGAGAGCTTCCCATCAAAGCCTTAGGTCAAGCTTAACATGCAGCAGGATGGGGTGGGAGGAAAGTAGCGGGATTCCTAGAAGTGGCAGGGATAAACTGTGCCCCTTCACCGTAACAGCCTTTCTGAAAGCTCACCCTCTTGAGGATCCCCTTGCAGCAGGACCACGAAGCGTAGCAAGGAAGGAGCAGAGCGCGGGGAGGGGGGGCTCTTGTCTCCCTTGCGCAGAACTTGCAATTGTAGGAGAGAGTTATTTGCATCGGGGTGGAAGGCTTTCGGAAGGAAAGCTTTCGGAAACAGACGTCCGTTCCTCTACCGCTTCTCCTGTCACCTCCCAGGGCGGCCAGTGTCTCTCCCAGGCTTCCGTTTCCAGGAGGAGGACTTGCATTGTTGGTTGGATGCTGCAAAACCGGCTACAGAGTCCTAACAGGGTTTATCTGCCAGAAACTGCTATAAACCTAAGCCCTCTTTGTCAGGACGAAACCTCTCCCTCTTTAAGCCTCTCCGGCATTCCTACCTGGCTTAAGTGCTCTCTGCCCAAGATTTTGAAGTTTGGGCGGAAATGCTTTGTCACAGCCAGCAGGTGGTGCAACAGGTGCAGGAGCCAGTTTCCTCTCCCAGGTTCCTCCTCTGGGATAGTCCTTGAAAAATGCCTTTGGGCCCCACGTCATGCCTGGCCTCCCCCCCCCCCTGCAGCCGGTTCTCCGGCATTCCTACCTGGCTTAAGTGCTCTCTGCCCAAGATTTTGAAGTTTGGGCGGAAATGCTTTGTCACAGCCAGCAGGTGGTGCAACAGGTGCAGGAGCCAGTTTCCTCTCCCAGGTTCCTCCTCTGGGATAGTCCTTGAAAAATGCCTTTGGGCCCCACGTCATGCCTGGCCTCCCCCCCCCCCTGCAGCCGGTTGGAAAGGGCTCCGGAATGCAGGCAGGCTTAACTCTTGCCCTTTGCCTTGTGAGGTGGGAGTGCGGCCGGCCGTGGGGTTCGGGAGCCCTGGGTCCCAGAAGGGAAGCCTAGCTCTCCCCCCCCCCTTCAAGTCAATGGACAAGCCTGAGGTCCCTCTCGTACAGTAGTGAGTGGCGGAGCGGTGGGGGGGAAGGGGGGGTCCAGTTGCTTCTGAGAGAGACACCAACTCATTGTCAGGCAGAAGCATCTGGTCCCGTTCAGGCCTTCCACCTGAAGCATTAAATCCGGTGTCTGCTTCCCTTCCTCACTATAGCGAGTTTGTGTGCGTTAAGAGTCCCTCCAAATGAAATGTTGGCCATGGAAGACACGCTGACCCAGAAATGAATCGCTGTGCCCTTGACCTTTGATGAAAGAGGTGCCGCTGCTCCATCCCCTCGAACTGCATCTCGGTGGGTGGGTGGTTTCTGGCCTCTGGTAATAGAGACCCATGTGAAAATGTGTGGCTGTTGCACACGTTAGACTCCTTCGGTCACCTGCAAAAATGGAATTTTAAAACTCGGTTTTGAGTTTGGCCACCTGAGGGCCTCGACAGAGAGGGAGTCGAAGTTTCCGGACCTCCGTCTGGCAGAGCCAAGCTTGGAAACGTGTATGGTGTCATTTGGAGGCGTCACGGAGCTTGGTTGAGTAGGACGTCCTAGATTTGGGGCCGTAGAGGGTTAATGGTGGCCTTCCTGATGTTCGGGGACCGCAGCAGCCCCCATCGGCCCCCGCCAGGACAAGCGGCAGGTGAGGGTCACGGGAGATGCAGCTGAACCGCAGCTGGCAGGCCACCGTTGCTCTTTCCTCCTTTCTGGGGTAGCGTCCCAGCAATGGGAGGGTGACTGTTTGAACCCCTTCCGCAGCCACCCTCTTCCCCTCCTCTGTTGCCCCATTTCCTTGTGCCCACCCCAAGGCTCTCCAAACAGCTGGAAGATACAGATTTGAGGGGGTTCCTCTCGTCAGCGTAGCTGCGTCTGCTCTGAGCAGAGACAGGACCTGTTCTGCCTGTGCTTCTCCATCTTGAAATGGGAAGAGGAACCCCTGGTCCCTCCTCCTGGAGAACGAAAACGGCACTGGAAATTCTCGTCCCTTTATATCATGCACGAGTCATAATCGCCTCTTCTCAGGGAACAGGCAGGAGCCAAACAGATTCCCAAGGGGAGAATCGGATTGGTTTTGAGCTCATTTAGGGTGTGATGGAGGGAGGGACAGTCTGTTTTGTCAGGATAGAAAGTGAGTGGATTCTGGTTTAACTAAAGGCAGGGTTTCTGCTGACTCCTGGCCCTCTTGTTCCCACAAAATGGGAGTTTGCTCTGGCAGGAAAGTCCTGTAGGTGGACAGAATGTGTGTGTATGTGGGGGGGAAGCTATCTGGCAGGTGTTTCCAAAAGCTCTGCCCCCCCCAAAATAAAATGTCAACCTCTCACTCCCCCCCCACTCCCTGGCTTTACAGACAGTCGTCATCATGTTTGTTGGTAGGGCACGTGATTCTTTTTAAAGAAATTTTAAGCAGCCATAACCCATTTTTTTAGAAGAAACATAAATGCTGTGTATGTCATGAATCACTTCTCCTTTTCAGTGAAATGTCTTCCCACTCTGATTTACCTTTCAGTTTTTAGAACTGGGCAGGCAATGGGTGGAAGGACGTACCCCGGAAGAGAAGGTATGGAGTCATTGTGGACTGGGGGGGTGGTGGTGTCGTATTTTGGAAGGAAGGGCCAAAATGTCTGCTTTGCACCTAGTCAGTCCCAGGTTCAAAATGCAGAGAACGTCACCAGGAAGGGTCCGGGGACCCCCTTTCTCACTTTGAAATCCTAGAGAGAGAGACACATGGGCTTGGCAGACTTAACACTTTGGCCTGGTGGGCAGCAGGGTTCTGTTTTTGGACTATAAATCCCAGATTCTTCCGCTGGCAAGTGGATTCTGGGAATTGTAGTGCCATCCTGTCTTGACTTTTTCATCTTTCACTTTTGCTGAAAGTGGAACAGATTCAGGAAGGGGACAAAACCCGAAGCACGGGTCGTGTTCATCTGTGAGAACAAAATAAAAATTCTCAGGCAGGCAGGGTTTGAGTATGCACCCACGAACATTCTACAAGCGTGTGAGCTTTTGAATCCAACAGACCTCCTCATCAGGCCAGGCAGTTTGAAGAGGAGAGGCGAGAGAAGAATGAATGGTCTCTGATGAGTTTAAGAAGTGGTGGGGAGGTTGGTGGCTTTTTGCCTGTTGGCAGGGGTGTGAGAGGGAAGGGGTGGCCAATGGTTTGCCGGAGGGGGGGGCAAACACAGTGCAGCCTTCTGGGCATTGTTGAACTGATCCTGTAGCAAAGTTGTGAATCCCGCTGCAGCCTGGAAGCAGGTGCTTTGGTTGGCCTTTGGCGCAGGACGGTCTTCTTCTTCGGCTGGCCAAGGCTGTGCCTTTGGAGATAAGGCTGGCGCTGGGGAGTCTCCCTGCTTTCCCTCCTGCTGGGGGGCCATTAGAGTGAGCTGGATTTCCTCACGGCTGGTCTTGGGCCCCCTCTTCAATCTCTTGTTTTCTCTCTCTCCCTGGCCAGCCGGGCCGTTCTATCAGTGCCGGGGCCGCATCGTTTATCGGAATGACGCAGGATTCCCAAGAGCGTCTTATCTCCAGCTGGGCTTCTGTCAACAGCGCAGCCCTTTCCTGCACCTTCGTTAAGCGGCCGTATTATAATCATCGGGACAGTCTCCACTTGAAGGGCCTCACCTCTCGCCAAGTTGCTCTAACGAGGCCAGAGTGCTTGAAGGCTTTATTAAACATTATCTCAGTCCTCCCGTTGGCGCTGCTTTGCTTTGCAGCTTCCTTTCTGTCCCCTCAATGTGGCACAGAGGTCAGCCAGGCGATGGAAAACTCCAGGCCCTCTCCGGAGAAGCCGCTGGTCAATATTTACCTGGGCTTGGAGCACTTTGGCAATGGGCTGGGACGAGGAACAGGTGGGTAGGATGTCCCCCCCCCCAAAAAAAAACCTCTCCCATTCAAATCCTAACAATTCTGTAGGTCTGGCCTTTAAAAGATGGATGGTTTATTATTAATTTGCTTGTTTATTTTATATCCTGCCTTTCTCCACCAGCAGGGACTCAAAAGCAGCTCACAACATCATTAAGGGGGAAAAGGCACAAATAGAAACAGCAAAAAGTCATGGCATTAAAAGACAACTGAACTGAAGGTAGTTTGGAAACAAAACCCCCACAACACCTTGTCCTACATCCCAGTTAGAGCAGAGCCAGGGATCCAGTTGGTTTCCTCTAGTCGGAGGCAGGGGGTGGAAGAGTACGGGGTGCTTCTTATCAGTGCGAGTGGCTGAGCGCCTGCTGAGTTACCTGTCTGTGGGGCTCCATTTCTGTTCTGTTCTGGCCATGCGTTCAGGAGTGGACGGCCAGCTTGGTTCCCCTCTCGTGTGCCCTCACAACAGGCGTGCAAGGCAGGCCGGTCTGGGCAAGAGGGGAGGAAGTGGGGTTGCTTTGGCTGCTCTCTTGGGTACCTCTCCAGTCCTGGGACCGGGCTGTTTTGGGAAGAGGGGCAGGGGGCTTCCTTCCACCTTTGAAGGGCAGCAAGCGCATGAAAGCCCCCACCCACCCATAGTGACGAGAAATGGAGGCATGGGGAGGAGGGCCTGGGCCCGAGCACCCCCAGAGCATCCTTGTCAGCCTCCTGCCGGAGTGGGCAAGGGTCCCCATCCACATGTTTCCGTGGACTGCATCTCACAGTTTCTCTCATTCGTGGGCCATGTGGACTGGTGTCTGTGAGGGATAGGCTAGAACATCTGGAGGGGCACAGTGGCTCTCCCCTCCCCCCAGAAGGCCAAACGAGTCTGAGCGGCTTCCTTTTCTTCTGCATAGACATGATAGTGCCTCTGAACATGTACAGAGTACTCTTCTCATGATGGGTTACACCTTAGCCAATACCTGGAATGAGCGATGGGGTGGGCTGAAGGCTTCCAGGGGCAAGCTTTTCATTCCTGGTGAACTTCAAGTGTGATCTTTCCTCCCACGCCCTTCTTCTCTTTCGTTAGTTTTTAAAAATCCACCCTGCTTCACTCAGCACCCACGCCGTATGAGAAGAGAGCTTTTGCTCTCCATTGTGAGCTAATATTTGCCCATTCCTATGCCTTTGGGGGGGGGGGCACAAACCATCATTTCTTGCTGGTTGTCCAGCCTGGGGAGCTGCAAGATGCAGCCATTGGGGGGGTGCAGCTCATTGTCTGTGGATTAATTCAGGATTAGGGAGTGGTGGCGGCGGTGGAGGGAGCAGGGACAAAAGTCTTGTGGGACACAACTGACCATCTCATGTGGTGCAGTGGTTAGAGAGAAGGAGGAGGGACTTGGATTCAAGTCATGCTCAAGCCATGAAATACAGGGATGATATGAATTCAGGTTTCCTGACCCCTAGACCCCAGAGTAGCGGCATGCTCACTAAATGGGTGGGGTATAAATTTAGACAAGACAGAGAGAGAGGGAGAAACAGACAGACAGACAGACCAGCATTTCAACTGCTTGCTTGTTTATTATTAAATACATTACTCATGTTTTATCACCATCATCTCTTCCTATGCTCCCCAAACCAAGAAAAATCTCCTGACTTTGGGCATATGTTTTGTAATTGACCAGGTAGGCGGGATATAAATTGAATGAATGAATGAATGAATGAATGAATGAATGAATGAATGAATGAATGAATAAATAAATACATAAATAAGTTTCTGGCTCAGACCACAAGCTTTGTGGGTCGCCTTGGGCGAGGGGGGTGACATTGGAGGAGGAAGGCGGGGGCAGCTCCTGATGTTTGCTTCTCTTACCTGATCCTTGGAAAAGCAAACGGTGGCTGGAGGTGGGGGTGGATTCTGAGAAACAGGGGCGAGGTGAGTAAGTTTACCAGTCTGGCCTCTTCCCAGCCACGCTTATCTCACCCAGTGCTTCAAAGGGGTTGACAAATCTCCCTAAGCCCCTCCGTTCTCCAGTGAAGCAACTCCAGCAGGTGACAGAAGGGGCCAAAGGCCTCCACCTGACTCAGCGGAGATGAGCTCTGCCCTTTGCGAGCTCAAGACCCGAGAGCAGGTGGGGCAGTTTCAAGAAGGAAGTGGGTTTCAGACATGACATCACGGTGGTTGTTGAAGGCAGGCAGCAGGAAAAGAGGAAGACTGGATGTGAGATGGATGGGCTCTGTCAAGGAAGCCAAGGCCTTGAGTTTGCAGAGAGCTAGGTTCTTTGGGAGGTCACAAATTCTGAGGGTCACCATGAGCTGGAAAGGACTTGACGGCAAATTAGGGAGGGAGGTGGTGGTTATGCCCCATCAGTTCATACGCACCCCTTCACCTTATGGCATCTCTATGAAGGAGGACAGGACATTCCAGGGTCATGAAAGCTCAAGGCTGTGGCTTCCTTCAGGAAGTCAGTCCATTTTATATTGGGCCTTCCTCTTTTCCTGCTGCCTTCAACTTTTCCAAGCATTATTGTCTTCTCCAGTGACTCTTGGTTTCTCATGATGTGCCTAAACGATGATAGGTTCAGCTTTGTCCTTTTTGCATCTAGAGTTCAGGCAAGACAAAATCTAGGACCCACTTGTTTAGCTTTCTGGTGGTTCAAGGTATCCACAAAGCTCACCTTCAGCAGCATAATTTGGAGGAATTGATTCCCCCCCCCCGCTGCCCCCCTTGTAGGTGTTCTTCACCGTCCAACATCCACATCTGTACGTAGCACAAAGGGTCTTGTCTTTGGTCTCCAGCGACACATCCTGGCCCATTATGATCTTTTCTAATTCTTTCATGGCCTTAGCCTTTCCAAGTCTCAGCCTCCTTCTGACTTGGTGGTAACCGTCTTGGTTTGGACTGGCGATGGAAACAAGGTATACAAAATCTTTATCAGTCTAATTTTTTCATTGTCAACGTTAAAGTTCTGCAGTTCTTCTGTTGTCATTATTTTTTGTCTTCATACAAAAGTTCTAGGTCAAAAGGTTCTTCAGTAGCCACATCTCCAAGTAGGGCCAGCTGGACACAGAGGACTCCTTGAGTCGGTCTGGATCCGCCACTTGCCCGATGCCTGAACTACTTTATAAGGTTCTGAGAACCGGGCGGATGGAGGGGAGCAAGGAAAGCTCTCCCTGGCCGGAAGGTAGGTGGACCCATGCCGTAGATTGTTGTGGCGTGCAGGCTGGCCTTTCTCTGAAATGATTTATGGGGATACTCTTGGCTGTCAAGGTTTGAAAAGAGCCATGGCCACCCCCTGGAGTTCAGAGGAGGCAAGGCAGACTTTCCATCTAACATAACCTCAAATCTTGTGGCAGGTAGTTCCATAGGTGACTTTTGCGCCCCGTTTCCCACAGCGGCCTGCTTGTCTTCTGCCAGAAGAACCATAAGCAGCACGGTGCCCTTTCAGGGGCGCATCCCCCCCCCCG